CCCGCGGAGCAGGGAGCCCGATGTGGGGCTCAATCCCAGGACCCTGGGACCATGACCTGAGCCGAAGGCAGACGCTTAACGACTGAGCCACCCAGGCGCCCAGTCATAGCTATCTTAAGAGAAAGTTTTCTTAGTCTGAGAGAGCCAGCAATGTCTTAAGCAAGAGTCACAAAAGTACAATCATCTTCCTCAATTTATTTAGTCCCATGTTACTAATTCTTATTCAGTTTGAATGCAACCTTTTAGTTAGTTTTGGAAATTCTTACCTATTTTAATTTTATGACTTTTAAAAGATTTACTTATGTATCTATTTATTTGAGAGAGAACACTTGCGCATGGGCATGGGGGGCAGAAAATGAGAATCTTTTTTTAAAGATTTTATTTATTTATTTATTTATTTATTTGAGAAACAGAGCACAAGTCGGGCGGGGGAGAGACAGAGGGAGAAGGAGACTCCCGGCTGAGCAGGGAGCCCGATGTGGGGCTCGATCCCAGGACCCTGGGATCATGACCTGAGCAGAAGGCAGACGCTTAACTGACTGAGCCAGCCAGGAGCCCAGAGAGAGAGAATCTTAAGCAGACTCCATGCTGAGCGCAGAGCAGGACGCGGGGCTCAATCTCACGACCCTGAGATCACCAGCTAAGCTGAAACCACGAGTCAGATGCTTAACCGACTGCACCACCCAGGCGCCCCTAATTTTATGAGTTCAAGGATATCAAAATTTTTTTTGTCAAAAAAGTCCTTTTCATGAATCTCCTTGAGGATGAAACATTTTGCAAGTGACGAAACTGTAATTCAGTTATGTTTGTGACACAGAACACTTCAATAATCAGAATATCAAGTGATGACCTTGTACCAGAACACTACATACCAATAAACAAGCCTAATTAGTCAAAGAGACTTCATTTACAGTTCAAATCTCGGGAAAATTTGCTAAAACCTTAGAAAGTTTTAAAGCACATGCCTAAATAGGATTACAGCTCAATAAAGATCTAATAAAGACAAAACATAGAAACTTCGGTTTTCTGGGCAAAGAGAAAAGAGCTTTGTTTACATTTCCTTATCAAGAGCAAACCAACAATCCAAGAAAACTTTGTCTTTCTAACAGAGAGAAAGCAGAATTTTAATCTTATTCCAGTGTACTTTTAAACTCTATTCATTTCAATCTTAGTCCATCCTGACCATACATAAATTCCTTTCCAAAGTTTTCCCATCACGAACCTTCTACAAATTTCTTTTGCATTCAGATTTTGTCCCAAGCCATTTCTCTCCAAACAACCAGTCTCATTTAGGACAAAATCACCTTCTTTTACCTTCAACAAAAACGTATTCCCATTCCTTCTATCTTTCTTACAGATCTTCTACTTTTCTACATACAGAGTTGTTGCTCTTATTTCCATTAGTCTTAATTACATTCAGCAGAATTAACTCTAAGAAACCTGAGTCTCCAGTGGAAACTTAGTAACCAACCATGAATTGTTACACCAGAATTCTTTAGATGGCAAATTCATGAATCAATTAAGCACAAAGCATGTTTCCCAACACTCAGACATCCTGTTTCTCTGCATTAAGAAGCCAAAAGTACAAACCTACGATCAGTCGTCAATGTGTTAGCACTCCATCCTATTTGGAAAAGACCTAGAGGTCCAACAAATTCAATCCCAATTTATCATTCAAACTTTCAAGTTTTGGGTTACCAAAGACCTTGAAAGGTATCTTAACAATTACCCATGAGAACTATGAGACCAACCAAATTCACCATCATTTTAAGTCATCTTTTTGCCGACAAATTGCAAGGGAGATCACAAGCTTATTTGACCGTCAGTAAACCTTGGTAGAATAAAAAGTTTCACGCTTAATGCTGATAACTCTAAAGACATGTCTTAATTAAACCAACAAACTTAAATTAGTTCAGATATCAAATCACATTTCACCTGGGTTCGCCTAACAGTCGATCAATTTGTTCCCCATTGTCAGTTTTCACCTGGGACCCCGCTGGGGCAGTCTGAAGTGGGCGGTGCAAATATGAGGGGGTGCTCTTCACCCTTGACTATGGAGGGGGAGGGGAAGGAGCCAATGGTGCTGGAGGCACAGAGGTGGTCTAGGAAGTCAGTTATGCAGGCCGCACCCGAGGTGGTGCAGAGACAGGAGGAGAGGCAGAAGAGGCAAGGTGCCCCCAGAGGGCAGAGAACGAGGACTCCTGGTTTTAAGCCTCATCAGCTCGAATGAAGGAGCAGATGCCATGTTCTCCTGCCAACAAGAGGGAGTAGGCAGTCCGTGTTGGGCCAGAATCGATGGGGAACTTCCCCAAAACACAAGGAGTTTCAGCAGCTGCTTGGGAATATTCTTTAAAGCCTCGGACCCAAGGTAGACAAGCCACTGTGGCTCAACAATCATAGCCATGAACCCGGGAAATGAATGAGGGAGAAGCCCCCACATCCATGAGAAGGAGGAACAGTGAATCAGCCAGCATCCAGGATGTCAGGAGGGGGGTTACTTAGACTGGTTGATGACCGCACACATTCTGCAAGGGGCTCCTAGGTCCGGGTCCTGATTTGGGGCCATGACACCAAGCAAGACACCTATGGGACAGTGGACCACGGGGAGACGTTCCAGCAAAGGTCCAGCTGGAGAACAGCGTTGGAAGACAGCCCCAAGGGAGGGCCGTGCCTCCTAATCTGGGAGTTTGTAGGAGGCCAGGAAACACAAAAAGGGGAGATGTTTTTCCTCAAGCCTCAAGGAGGCCAGGAAACACAAAAAGGGGAGACGTTTTTCCTCCCCTTGGGGGTCAGATTTGTTCCAGCTTTGATGGACACAGCCTAAGAGTGAGTTGGAAGGAAGAGAGGGGTGTCCGTAGGGGAAAGACTGGCCGCCGATCCCCAGTGGGGAGCCTGCCACAGGGAATGGAGCTCGGACTCATGGTCGTGATTTCAGCCAGGGCGTCCTGCTGCCCTGAAAAAGGACCAGACCTATCCGAGAGGACAGACTCTTGGGGCGTCCCATCACCCAGAGGGGTCGTGCAAATACAGGGAGACTCTTTGGGGTGTCCCACCGCACCAGGGGTCCCACCAAGAAGAGGGCTGCAGCTAATGGCAAGGCGCTTCCCGTGGGGGTGTCCCCCCAGCAGCGAGACCCACCAGGTGGGAAAGGGGAGGCAAGGACTCACCGCTCAGCCGTGTGGGAACAGTTGGCCTGCAGACCAGGATGGTGGCTGGAGCCCGTGACGCGGGACTCTAGGAGCAGACCTCCAGTCAGAGTCAGAAAGCAGAGGGAAGGGGCCCTTTGTGCTCTCGGCGTGGCCAGTCCAATCGCCCTAGGGAGCCGCCCTGGCCCAGGCCTTCAGTCCTTTGAGGGGCCACTAGGGTTAGACTCCCGAAGCACCGAGAAGAGCAACCAGAGGGAGGGAAGGGTCCCTCCGAAGGGAAAAGGGGACATCCTTCAGCCTTCCGGGCAAGGGCAGTCTGGCTGGTTCCCCCTGGGGCTTCGGAGCCTCACTGAGGAGTAACCGAGGCTGGAGACCAACAGTTCCCCAAGGAGGACTAGAGTCCCAGACAGGCAAAAGCTCCATGTGCTGGGTTCCCCCAAATGTACGGGAACCACAAAGTCTTTGGACAGGCCACTAAATATGGTGCCTAAATGGAGTGTCTCTTGATTGGATGGGGGCCCCCATAGATGGGGCGAGGATCAGGTGGAAGCCTGATCCTCGGGCAGGAAATGAATTCACCTGAGGCAGAACACAGGTGACAGAAGTTCATTGACTACCCCGCAAGGGAGCGCGGGCAGGACAGCAGAGGGGAGACGGTCTTCGAGGAGGCGGCGGGTGGGGGCTGTTTTTAAAGGGGGAAGGTGAGCAGGTACGGGGATGTATGGAATTCTCCCCTTTTTGGTAACTGTACCTGGCTGTAAGTAGCCTATCGGTCAGTTAGGGCCTGTGGCTATTTTGAGGTGGGTCCCCCGATGGGTCTGCATCCAGCCAGGGGGTCACTGGGGGCCTTTCTGCCTGTTGGCCTGAAGGCAGCCTCAACACTCTCCTGTTCCAGGAGCCGAGTTGTGTCGAGTCAGAGATGGGCTTGTTCCTTCATTGTCCTTCGTGTGCCTGGCTCTTTCGAGAAAGCCCAGTTGCAGGGAGACTTCAGAGTCCGTCCTGTGTAGGTCAGATCCTCTTTTCTAAAGTCTTAGGGCACTGTGCGCGGTCCACAGCTCCCATGACAGTTCTCACTTTAGAGGCATTGGTGGAAGTGAATCTCGTCCATGGGACTCTAAGTTCCACGAGAGGGCCTTGGGTTCAGCTCCACATTCACCGCATCCCAGTGCCTGGCAGAGTAGGCACTCCATAGATATTCGCGGCACAAATGAATCACAGGATGAACCCACGCTGCTGAGAGGAGAAGAGTTCCTCGTGGAAGAAGGAGGTGGGGGAGGGGAGGGGGACGACGGGCGGGGGAGGGGGGCAGAAGGGACTAAACCACTCCTCACAGGACTATATGTCTCATAAAGTTTGGTAGCTCCTGTCCTTCCCGCCACCGTCCATTTTCATTTTCTGCCTTAAGCAGATCTTGGTTCTTAAAACAGAACAAACACACACACACACACACACAAATCAAACAAAACCCCTTTATTTTGTTAATTTAAAAATAAGAACCATGAGAGTATATTCATGGTCACAATTTTGTGAAAAGAAAGAGTAAATGGAGAGAGGACTAGCCCTACCAGACTCTAAAACGTACTTAAAAGCTCACAATAGGGGCGCCTGGGTGGAACAGTCGTTAAGCGTCTGCCTTTGTCTCAGGTCATGATCCCGGGGTCCTGGGATCGAGTCCTGCATCGGGCTCCCTGCTCTGCTTCCCCCGCTCCCTCTGCCTCCCGCTCCCCCTGCTTGTGCTCTCTCTCTGTCAAATAAATAAAATCTTAAAAAAAAACCTTTAAGAAAGTAAAAGCTCACAATAACAGTTTGTTATCAAAGAAGATATAGGTAAGTGGAGAAGCACACCCCAGATACATGACCAAATACATGTGCGGCCGAGTCAGTGATAAAGGCAGCATTTACAACCAGCGAGGAAAAGGGGGACGACCCATCAGTGGGGCGCAGAGAGGTTAGCCAACTTGCCAAAGTCACACAGCCCCCAAGTGGTAGGAGAGTGATTCCGTCTGAGTGTCTGGACTTCTCACTTCGGAACCTGCCCTCTTAAACGTTACGCCAGCTGTCCTCGGGTACCTGTCACCAAGCCTTGGACGGGGCATGGCAAATAGAAATGGCGAAAAGAAGGCATCCACGAAGGAGACCACTAAGGCTTGCGGGGGCGGGGGGAGGACTAAAGAAAACTGGAACAAAAATGTAAAACTGCTGGCTGAGGTCTCGCCCACCCGGACCCACGGGCCACGGCCCAGCCGCCGGCGGGTCCAGGACCCCGGACAACCGGCAGGTGCACCAGCCCGCGCCGCGCGGAGCCTCGCCGGAGTCGCCTCGCGCGAGACCCAGCGGCCGCCGCGGGCCCGGCCGAGTCTGCGCAGAGGAGACCCCCGGGGGGGGGGAGGTGTCCGCCGCGGGAACTGCCCGAGCCTGCGCAGAGGAGACCCCCGAGCGGGCGGGAGGTGTCCGCCGCGGGAACTGCCCGAGCCTGCGCAGAGGAGACCCCCGAGCGGGCGGGAGGTGTCCGGCCGCGGGAACTGCCCGAGCCTGCGCAGAGGAGACCCCGAGAGGGTGCCGCAGGGACCGAGCCTGCGCAGAGGAGACCCCCGAGCGGGCGGGGACGGGCGCCGCGGGCCCGGCCGAGTCTGCGCAGAGGAGACCCCCGGGGGGGGGGGAGGTGTCCGCCGCGGGAACTGCCCGAGTCTGCGCAGAGGAGACCCCCGAGCGGGCGGGGACGGGCGCCGCGGGCCCGGCCGAGTCTGCGCAGAGGAGACCCCCGGGGGGGGGGGAGGTGTCCGCCGCGGGAACTGCCCGAGTCTGCGCAGAGGAGACCCCCGAGCGGGCGGGGACGGGCGCCGCGGGCCCGGCCGAGTCTGCGCAGAGGAGACCCCGAGGGGGCGGGCGGTGTCCGCCGCGGCAGCTGGCGGCGGGGGTGGGGGGACCGCCGGCTCGGGGAGCGCTCCTGACGCGGGCCGAGCCGGGGCTGCGCGATGGCCGCCGTGAGGGGGCCGTGGCGGAGCGGGAGGCTGGGGTGGCCTGGAGGTGAGACCTGCTGCGTGCGCAGAGCCGGGGGTCCCGGCGCCCGGGCACCTTAACCCCCCCCCGCCCGGGGAAGCGGGGCGCAGAGCAGACCCCTGGAGGCCAGTGGGGAGAGGCTGGGCCTCGGGGACGTCGGGGCTGGGTCCCCTTCTGGCTCCCGGCGCGCGCCGCCACGACCATCCGCTGCCGCCTCTCCGTACCCTGGTGGGTTCCAGCTCCCTCCTGGGGGGCAGCGCGCTGCCTCTCCCCCAGGCCCAGGCTGCCCCCGCTCCCTGCCCTGCGCTGTGCCCGGAGCCTTTGCGCAAGACCTCGTTTCTGGGCTCCAGGGGTGACCGAGGGCCGCGATGGGGGACCAGACCGAACCACAGGGATGAGCTGTGCGGGCCAGACGTGTTGTCCTACTTGATCTGAAATGTTCCTAACCTGGGAGCTCAGAGGAGGGGGGCGAGGTCTAGGCCAGTCTCTTCTTTGTAAAGGTCTGCCCATCCTTTTATGAGTAGCTTCACAAGCCCCTTCCTCTGGGAAGCCTTCCAGAGTTGCCACCCGCATCTCTGAGCTTCTCATCTCGTTTAGCTCGTTGAGCTGGTGCTTACTAACTTGTTTCACGTGTGTGCCTGAGTGTGCAAGTCTCCGGGTCCCTCTCTAGGCAGGGGCTCTATCGTTGTAACACATGCACGCAAATATGACTTTAAAAAGATTGAAATGGTTAGAAGGTGCCAACAGGTGGGCCTGCAGCTGTGGGAAGTATTTGCGAAGGTCACGGGCTGAAGAATGATGGCCCCAGGGCCAGGTAGGACTGTAGACAGCATTTTCCCTGCTCATGCCCTTGGATTTTATTTTAATCCGAGGCCAGCATTTTAAAATGAGGAAATGTCTTTCACATCTGCTCACACAAGATCTAGACTTTAGCATGTCTTGAAAGCTCAGACGTGTCCACACGCAACGCCCCCCCCCCCCCCATGTCTACACGGTGCACTGAGCAGGAATTGAGGAGCTCCACCTTCAGACTCGGCATCCAATTTCCAGAGCCCCAGTCCCCACTAATCTCCACCGTCTCCCTGACATGGAAGCAACGTATCATTTTGTCGTGGATAATCACCTAGCTTCCTTCATTCGTTCTGATGAAGTGCCTGGCCTGTGGCTGTTTGGGTTCTGGGTTCCCGGTGTAGATGAGGGAGACCTGGAGCAGCATCGCGAGCAGAAGAGTGGGAGGCAAAGGGACAGCGCGGGGAGAAGCACAGTGTATGGGAAGTTAGGGGGGACACTGAAGCGCAGTTTTGCTCTTAGGTGAATCGTAGAGGAGGGCTCTTGTTACGTGTTGAATTGTGTCCCCCCCCACCCCAATTGTGTCCCTTCAGTATATCGACATCTTAACCCCACTAGCTCAGAATGGGACCTTATTGGAAATAGGACCGTTGCAGATGTAATTAGTTAAGGTGAGGTCATACTGGAATAGAACAGCTCCCTTCCCCCCACGCCCCGATTCAGTATGAGTGGTGTCCCTATAAGAACAGGGCCACGTGAAGAGACCAAAGCAGGGAGAAGCCACGTGGAGAGGGAGGCAGAGATTGTGGTGATGCATCTACAAAGCAAGGGACACAAGGACTGCCTGCTATCACCGGATGCTGGGGGGGAGGGGTGCAGGCGATCCCTGAGCCCACAGAAGGAAGCCACCTGCCGGCACCTTCGCTTCAGACTTCTGACCTCCGACTGCAAGAGAACGAAGTTCTGCTCGAAGCCACCCAGTCTGGGGTACTTTGTTACAGAAGCCCGAGGGAATAACATAGCTCGGAAGTCAAGAGGCACTATCATTTCCTTTAATAGATGATTTAAAAATTCACGGTAGGGTGCCTGGGTGGCTCAGTTGGTTAAGCGACTGCCTTCGGCTCAGGTCATGATCCTGGAGTCCCGGGATCGAGTCCCGCATCGGGCTCCCTGCTCGGCAGGGAGTCTGCTTCTCCCTCTGACCCTCCTCCCTCTCATGCTCTCTGTCTCTCATTCTCTCTCTCGCAAATAAATAAAATCTTTAAAAAAAAATAAAAATAAAAAAAAAATAAATAAATAAAAATTCACGGTAAGTTTTCGATCATTGTCGTCAGGGAAAGCAGGATTTGAGAAAAGTACTTCATCCAACAGCATTAGCTTTACCAGTTGGAACCAGAAAGCAGATTTATCAGAGATTTTCCAAGCAATCCAAGCACGAGGTGAGAAGGTTCTGGACTCAGATGGGGTTGGAGAGGGCCAAAGGAGGAGTTTTCAGAGTTCGTAGGTATGGAAAGAGGGGAGTCCAAGATGAAGTCATAGCCCACCTGTGTCTCCTGGAGGGCTTGGCAGGTACCAACTGCCAGGCCCCCTCCCCGCAGTCTGACTCAGTGGGTCTGGGACGCTGCTGGAGAATTGGCATTTTTACCAAGCTCCTGGGAGAGGCTGATGGTGCTGGTGTGTGGACCACATTTTAGGTGGCATAAACGACTGTGTCTCTGGCCTAGAAGCCCCTGGAGCACCAGACCCCACGAGGGCAGGGACCTTGTCTGGTTCACCACGGCATTCCAGGGTCTAGAATGGTGCCTGGACGCCGTAGGATCACGGTAAATACTTGTTCAACGAAAACGGGTCATTTGGCAGAAAGGGATAGTAAGAAAGGGGAATAAGTGTAAAATGACGAGTTCATCTTTATCCATTTGCTTCACAATCCAGTAAGACACAGGACTAGAAATGCACAGTGAGTGTAGACGAAAATGTGGGTGAGGAATAGGAGTTCCAGATCATGATTCATCCTGGACAAAGGAGATCACGGGAGCCAGAGGGGGTGTGGCCACTGATAAGTCACAGAAAGACAGGACGAGGGGCTGGGCCTCCATAACGCATGTAACACGGAGAAATGGGTAAAGATAGTACAAAAGTAGTTGGAATATCACCCACTGTGGAAGCCAAGGGAGAAAAGGATTTCAGGAATTATTGGGTCAAGGGGTATCCTGCTCACTTATTCTGCAGTTTTTTATTGAGCGCCTGCTATATTCGGGGCCCTGTTCCAACACTGAAAACAGACGGAGCCCCCAGCCCCGTGGAGTTTCTTGAGAAGCTTACGCAGTCGTGGTGTGCACTGTCCACCTTGGGGGCCTTCGTCGGCATGATGACACTGTGGAACAAGTGCTCTTCCTTCTGTTGGACATCGAGGGGAGGATGGTTGAGGGAGATTAAGATGCCGGGATTCTAACTTGGTTCTGCTCGCTCCTGCACCCTGTGCTCTGCTCAGGTCTCCAAGCCGTAACTAGTGACACTTTTCTGCTTTAGATGCTACTTGCGTGATGATTCTGAAATCTTTGCCTGCCTTCCAGATGTTCCTCCTGGGCTCCCGACCTGCTGACCCGTCGGCTCTGCAGACATTTCTCCCAGATGCCTCACAGGTATCTCCAACACCTCTGAAATTATTTCCCCCACTGCCTCCCCCTCACCCGGCCTTTGCCTCCAACTACCCAATTCAGGTGGTTGCCCAAGTTAGAAACGTGGATGCCATCCTTAATGCCTGCCCTGTCCCCTCAGCCCCTCTGTCTAGGACAGCACCAGGTCTTGCTTCTCTGACATACGGACTCGATCCCTCCGTGCCCTCTGCCCGGAGTTCACTGGGGCCCTCCCTGGCTCCAAGCAGACCACTGCTGTGGTTTCCTGCCTGATATCCCCGCTTGCAGCCTTGACCCAACATCCACCCTCCAGAAAATGATCAGAACAGTCTTCTAAAACCATAAATCTGCTTACACCATTCTCCTGAGTTAACCCTTTCAGGGGCTTCCCATGGCCTTCAGGAGAAAGCCCAAACCTCTTGGTCCTCCACGAGTTGACCAGCCCTTCCCAGCTCCGTCTTCTGCCGTCCCGCATCCTGGGCTCAGTCACATGGTGCATGCATGGACGCTGGTGGCTTCCCTCACCTTCCACCCATGCACATGCTGCAGCCTCGCGGGAAGTCTGGTTATCTCAGGTGGTCTCTGAGGCCTCAGCTTAGAAGCTTTGTCCTTCCAGAAGTTTCCTTGCCTGTCCCCCCTCAAGGATGTGCTCTTTCTGCAAGGTCTCACGGCACCCCGTGCATACCCTTCGTGAGCCCCCAGCCCAGCACGGGCTCTTCAAGGAGAGGGACTCTGTCCTCGGTATTGTCCTGCATGGTGCTCGTTACTTTGCACCTAGTGCAGTGCGTGGCCCACAGCAGGGCTCAGAGGGCAGATCAGCACTGGGGAGCGGCAGAGAAGAAATACAGCGGAGTGCGGAGTCGCTGACAAGACAGGGCAACGCAGGGGTTTCACCCCGTGGTCTCACCTTTCTAAAGCGAGGACAGGATTGGCCGCTGAGAGCCAAGGTGATGAGCGACATAGCGGAGTTCTAAGGAGAGAAGGGAAGGTACCAAGTGTCTGCTGCTCTCTCCTGGGTGGTTCCCGAGCAGGGTCTTCTGTTTCAGGAATTCAGGATGCTGTGGGATGTGGCTGTGAGCAGGTCATGGAGGATGCTGGGCCCCGGGCCTGCACTCCGTGGAAGCTCTGTGGGGAGGAGATGCTGCGGGAGGCAGAGCTGGCCCCACCGGGGGAGGGGGGCGTCCATACGCTCTCCGCTCTCTGACTTTGGGGTGAAACACACAAACAAGGAGAGTCTGTAAAGGGATCATTGGCATCAGAGGATCGAGGATTTCCAGTGGTTTTGATGCCTGGTGGCAGGGTGCTTGTGGTCTGTGCCAAAGGGCGTCCAGCCTCATCTTGGGGGGATGGCAGGGTGGGGGGGCATGGTTCTGGGTTTGCCCGGGTGTTCTGGAAGGACTGGGCTCTCACCTCCTCCTCTGCCCTTCTCTGTCCTGCTTGTGTTACTGGATCTGCACCATTTCTCCTTGGCCATTTGGCACGAGGTTTAGATTTTGTCTGTGGACAGTGCCAGAGGGACAGTGCAAGGCCACAGGAAAAGGAAAAGGAAGGGAGTTCTCCTCCTGGCGCTCATGCACCACTTCATTTTTTTTTCTTTTAAAAATTGTATATATTTATTAGAGAGCAGGCATAAGTGGGAGTGTTCCGGTGGTGGCCACAATCTCCAAAAAGGTCTGAATCTCAGCCCCAGCCAGGACACAGTCCTCTTCTCAGTTCTTTATTCCTCCCTCTTCAACTTCTCAGTATGGGGGAAGAGGTGATGTTTGTATTTTAGGAATGCTAGCATGGTCTACTTATCATTTCAGATCCAGAGATCAGGAATAACATAAAGGACCAGAAGTCAAAGGTGGACGTTCCTGGAGACATAGATCCAGCAAGGGTTGTATCCAAAGGATGCCAGAGACTGATCCGTCAGGAGCATGGGTTGGTTGAAGCTGCTGACAATGTGGTCGGGTCATTGAGGCGTTGGGTGAGCCCCTCACAGGATGCAGGGGGGCTCCCCGCTTCCCAAGGGAGAGCTATCAAGGAAGCGAATCTCATTCCCGCAAAAGCCATCGCAGGAGAGAGCGGCCACAGGTGTAATGGGAGAGAAAGAACACTTGCTGCAGGAGAAAGATCCCACAGCAGAGAAGCCTGTGGTGAGAGATTCCAGCAGACATCAGAGGTCACCCAGCGCCAGAAAACTGGTAGCGTGAAGAAAACCCATCAATGTCAGGAATGTGGGAAAACGTTCAACCGGAGCTCCAACCTGATCATCCACGAGAGAATTCACACGGGAAGGAAACCCTTTATGTGTGACGAATGTGGGAAGGACTTCAACCAGAGTTCAAATCTCATTATTCATCAGAGAATTCACACAGGGAAGAAACCTTAGCTGTGTCGCGAGTGTGGGAAGAACTTCAACTGGAGCTCCAACCTGGCCAGGCACCAGCGGATCCACAGTGGCGAGAACCCCTATGAGTGCCAGGAGTGTGGCAAGGCCTTCCGCGGGAGCTCCAGCCTGGTCCTGCACCAGAGGACCCATGGCGGTGGCAGGAAGCCTTTCGCATGCCACCAATGTGGCAAGACCTTCAGCCAGAGCTCGGACCTGGTCATCCACCACAGAGTTCACACCGGAGAGAAGCCGTATGAGCGCTATGAGTGCAGCCAGAGCTTCAGCCAGAGTTCACACCTGGCCACACACCAGAGGACCCACACCGGGGAGAAGCCCTTCGCGTGCCCTGAGTGTGCGAAGGCCTTCAGTCAGCGTGCGCGCCTCAGAGGCTGCACAGCGGGGAGAGCCCCTATGCATGTGGCGGGTGTGGGAAGGCCTTCAGCGGGCACACAGCTCTGCTCAAGCACCAGAGGCTGCACACGGGCCAGGATGTGGGCCGGCTGGGACAGCAGAGAACTGAGAGGGAGGAGAAGCCCTATGAGTGTACGGAGTGTGGAAAAACCTTCCGGGGAAGCTCAGACCTGATCCGGCACTGGATAATCCACACCAGCGAGAAGGCCTATGAGTGCAGGGCCTGCGGGAAGGCCTTCAGCCAGAGGTCACACCTGCTCACGCACCAGAAAATCCACACCGGGGAGAAGCCGTATCCACGCGGCGAGTGCGGGAAAGCCTTCCGGCAGCGCTCATTCCTCGTCCAGCACCGAAGAATCCACACCGGGGAGAAGCCCTATGAGTGTGGGGCCTGCGGGAAGCCCTTCATTTGGCACACAGCCTTCCTCAAACACCAGAGGCTTCACGCTGCAGAGAAACCCCAGGGACGTGGGAGGACACTGAGCTAGGACCAGGCACCTGGGGACGAGCGGAAAACTCATGGGGAAGAGAGAGCGCACTGGCGCGGCCAGCGTGCCAGAACCTTCCAGGGCAGCTCGGACCTCATGGGACTTCCGGTGACTCACGCAGGAGGGAAGCCCCATGCATGTGCAGAGTGTGGGAAATCCTTCCAGCAGAGCTCAGACCTCACAAGGCACCAGAAAATCCACAGCGGGGAGAAGCCTTACCCCTGCGCTAAATGTGGGAAGTCCTTCAGGGACAGCTCCGACCTCATTAAACACCACCGTGTGCACACAGGAGAGAAACCCTACAATTGCCCCGAATGTGGGAAGGCCTTCAGCCAGAACTCCCACCTTCTCAGTCACCAGAGGATCCACACTGGAGAGAGACCCTTTGAATGCGGCGCCTGTGGGAAGGCCTTCGGGGGCTGCACGGCCTTCCTTAAACACCAGCGGCTGCACCCCGGGGAGGGGCCAGGGCGCGGCGACAGAGCCCACAGACAGGACTCGGAGGTGATGGAACCCTAAGGGACCCAGGGCGCGCCTGAGGGAGGCCATTCTTATTGCACTGTCAAGGTGTTTATCACTGGAAAGCATCTGGAGGCAGGAAGACGTACAGGCCATCCTTCTGACTCCAAGTTGACACTGGATGTGGTCCCCGGGATGTAATCACTGGACAATGTTTTAGGGGATGTCTACTGTCATTAAAGTCATTAGAAGTCACCATGGCAACAGCCCCAGAACTAAATTCTTCATGAAAGGAGCCATTTCAGCCCTGACCCCCTGGCCCAGGGACAGGTCTAAATCTGCTTTACGTACTTTAGGGGTGGTTCCCGTTAGGGATGTGCTTTATATGTATGTCTCCCCCTCTTCTCGTTCTTACACATGTGTGATGATGCTAACTGCAAAGATCCACGAATTGGGAGGAAGCCACAATGACAGGAGGACAGCTGGACGCCAGGAAACAAGGGCCAGAGGAGGGTGTCCCGCAGAGAAAGCGGGGTGTCCTCTGGTAGCCCCAGGAGATAGGAGAGCAGGTGTCAGGGACAGAATCAGAGCGTGCACCAGGGCACAGCGCAGAGGTGGCCTGAGCGGGGAGGAACTCTACTGCAAAAGGTCAGGGGACTGTAGGGACAGTGGTTTTGTCTCGACCCAGGGCTTTGCAAGGGGACACAGCTGGTTTGAGAACTGGAGGGGCCAAGTGGAACCCTGGAGCTCACGAAGCCTGGTGATTAGGCTCCACCCATCTGGGCTGTCATGGCCAATCAGCACTAGGCTTTTCCCACCTGGGCGGTTATGGCCAGTCAGCGTAAGGCTCTGCCCATCTGGGCGGTCACAGCCAATCAGCATTAGGCTCCGCCTGTCTGAGTCCCCACAGCCAATCAGCATTAGGCTCTGCCTGTCTGAGTGCTCACAGCCAATTAGCATTAGGCTCTGCCCACGGGGGTGGTCACAGCCAGTCAACTGTTCTGTTCCTACTGAGCCCGGACACAGCCGCAGCACTTAAAGGGATGCTCGAGGCAAAAGCTTTTCAATCCCTCCTAGTTGACACTAGAGACAAAACCTACTTGCCATCTCCCCCCACAACTACCTATTGATTATATCCACTAAGTGACCAAGAAGATCAAACTGTCACTCAGTGTCTCAAGTCTCAGGCAAAAAAACTCATGTCAGGGGCACCTGGGTGGCTCAGTCGTTGGGCGTCTGCCTTCGGCTCGGGTCATGATCCTGGGGTCCTGGGATCGAGCCCTGCATCAGGCTCCCTGCTCTGCGGGAAGCCTGCTTCTCCCTCTCCCTCTCCCCCTGCTTGTGTTCCCTCTCTCGCTATCTCCCTGTCAAATAAATAAATAAAATCTTAAAAAAAAAAAAAAACAAAACTCATGTCATAAGCAACTTTTGAAGTATCCAGGCTGCTCACCACGATCCACCTGACTGTCCTTCTCACCCATAGAGGTGCGGTCCCCAGCAACCAAGTTCACCATGTGTGACCCCCACACAGCCCCACTCTCTCCCCTGCCTGCCTCTTGCCCTAAGCTGGAACAACTGGACCCTCTTTTCTGAGATTCTGGAACTCGGAAAATCTAGTTCAGCCAGGGCTGGTCTTTTAAATAAAGGACGTTTTAAGACCCAGGAGCTGAAGTAGTAAAGGAGGAAGGCGGTCTGCAGAGAGAAGAATGAAGTGGACCCACATAATGATTCAGAGGCTCTCCAGGGGTGTCTCTGACAATCAGCCAGCTTTGGGGATGTTTGTACAGACCACAGACGCCAAAGTAGGGTTTAGAAGCCTATCTCTTTCCCAGATTACAGAACCATTTTTGAGAACTTAGAAGCTCAATCCAAACATCGAAATGTTTTTACATTGATCACTTGCCTCCCCTTCTAGGAATTTCTTTTCTCCTAGCGTGAGAAGGCAACTATTTATACTTTTAATATGGTTCAGATAATGAAAGGAAAACCGAGAGCAAGGAATGGAAGCTAACACAGGAAATCTCCGAAGGGAGACTCAGGACACCCAGTACAGATGCCCACGGGTCTAAATTCTCGCACCGGCGAATGTGAGAGCAGCTTGGAGAGGCGGCGGGCAGACCCATCAGAGGCTGGACAGTTACAGTCCCCTTCTGAGGGGGACACGGGCTTCAGCCAAGTGAGCATTCCCCTTAACCAAACCCGTGTAGGAGAGGGAAAGCTTGCACATCAGGAGGAAGTGAGAATGTGCCATCTGAACCCACCTGCCACACATCAGCTGCTGCTATAAGAGCAGGGGGCACGTGGCCAGACCTTCAAACAGAAGTCAGGACGGACTCGGCATCAGGAAACCCATACCCCAGGAAGAACCTGTAAGCGTAAGGAGTGCGGGGCGATTTTCAGCAGGAGCTCACACCTGGTGATACACCAGAGGATTCACACAGGGAGGAGACTTTACGTTGGTGGTGACCGTGGCAAAGATTTCGGTCAGAGCTCCAATCTCCTCCACCATCAGCGGGGAGTCTGCTTCTCCCTCTCCCTCTGTCGCTCCCCCTGCTGTTCTCTCTCTGTGTCAAATAAATAAATACAATCCTTTAAAAATAAATAAACAAATGCAGGTAACACGTCTGATGGGTTCTGCCCAGCACACACTCAGTTCTTTAAAGGGAAATGCTTTGGCACTTTTTTTTTTTTTTTACATTGTTCATTGTAAGAAAAATTCAAACACTCAAGCAGGACTTGTTTGAACTGGCCAAAGTCCTTTGTTTCTCCCCGGAAGCCATTATTATACTGCAGATCTTTTATGTATATTCTCTTGTTTTCTTCATGCTCTCAACTACATAGCCTTTTAGCTTCTTCTTTTTTTCAATGTACTCTTTTTTTTAAAGATTTTATTTGCCACTGAGCAGGGAGCCCGATGCGGACTCGATCCCAGGACTTGATCCCAGGACCCCAGGATCATGAGCTGAGCTGAAGGCAGACACTTCACCGACTGAGCCACCCAGGCATCCCACCCTTTCAGCTTCCCGAAAACAAGGAACTATTTTTTTTGTATTTGCTCACCTTCAACCCAGGCCCAGATTTACATATATATTTTTGTTCAACAAATGAGTGTCCATGCTTATAACTGTCTAGTTGTATTATTGAAAACTATATTCATCACAAGAGCATAGTGTGTGTAATATTCTTGCTTTTCTTTCCCCTTTACACATAACCATAAACTATATATTGCAGGGGGAAAAAACAGGTTAAACTCTATTTTGCTTGGGAGAGGTATCCATTTATTTCAAATTAAACTTGATGGCCGGTTTCTAGTCAAATATTTTAATGGTTCCCATTTTAAAAATGTTGTTTTCCTAAAAAGTAGTACTTCATGTGACATCTGAATGTAATTCTTCTGTAGCACTTTCTTGTGATCGCCCACCCCTGAATCGCACATTTAGCTCCTACACACAATTTTCATAATTTACATTTTGCTAGGAGACCATCCACTTCGTGTAGGTTTTCAGATAGGATGTCATGGTCTCCCCATCTGCTGAGCGGGGCTCCTCCCTTCCTCCTCCGCTGGGCTCGGTTCCCCTTCCCCATCACTGGGCGGGGCTCCTCCCCCCTTCGCGCGCGCCGCTCCCCTTCCCCTCCCCCACCGCTGGACGTGGCGAGGTCCGGGTCCCCGCGGCAGGTGTCGTCCGGGCAGGTGTCTTTCGGGCAGTGCAGGGAGCGCGGGGCGGCGGAGGGGGCGGTGCTCCAGGGAGGAGAGTGAGGCTGGCGGGACGTCCAGCTGGGGAACCCCCGGGGGCCCCTCTCCTTCCCCGTTAGACCTTCCTGACGCTGGACCCTTCCCGGAGACCCCCGTCTTGCTCCTGGCGGCCCTGTATCCAGGGCGCTGCTGCAGATCCGGGGCCTTTGAATTATTCCCTCGATGGAATTAAAATGTTTCTTTTGCTGTGGCCACTACAGGAATTTGAGAAACGGTGGAGGGGTCCACCTGGTCGGAGGCTGCCTCTCCCGTGCGCTGGAATCCGTCACTGCAAACCTCACTGGAAACAGGCAGCTTACATCACACCGAGTGCGGCTCGCGTCTGGGCTCTGATACTGGAAGCTAGTGACTTCCTGTGGGCCCCGGGGACATTTTTTCTCCTGCTGTGTTTTGTTTTCTTTCTTAGCCTTTGTCTAGTATCGTGGAAAGCACCATACGTATCTGTCCACCAGACTGCAAGTCTCTCAAAGGCATGACTCTTAGTGGAACAGGATCCTAGAGACGGATGGAGGGATGGAGAAGAAGGGATTGCAGGGTTTGGCTCCTTGGCGAAGCTGAGTGTGTTCAGTGAGCGCGGAAAGCAGAATGCTTTTTCTTATGCTGCAGGGTGCCCCTGAAAGCCTGCCGCGGGTGTGGGCCTTCTCCGGAGCGAGTCCAGGCTAGGATGGCTGTACCACGGGCAGCAGCTAGAACTCTGGTCCACGGCGCACACAGGATCAAGGGACGATTATGGAGATGGCGCCAGAGCAAGAGACGTGGGAGTTCGAGACTGGGCTACAAGGGAACCACTCTCTGGGTCCAGAGATCTCCCGCCCGCGGTTCAGGCAGCTCTGCTCCCAGGAGACTCGGGGTCCCCTGGAGCCCCTGAGCCAACTGTGGGTGCTCTGCTGAGTGGCTGAGGCCCGAGAGGCACACGGAGGAGCAGATCCTGACCGTCCTGCCCGAGATGCACAGAAAGAGCCGTGGGAGGGGAAGGCACCTGGGGCATCCAGCTCCAGCCCAAGCGGACCCAGCCTTTGCCAGAGCATGGTGGGGAGCCGGACTTGGGAGGGAGAGGAGGAGGGAGTATAAAGGGCACATAGTAGGTGCTCAGAAGTTGGCTGTCATCACTCTGAAAGACTTAGGCTGCTTGGTCACCTCTACAGTGAGGACGGAGAATGATAAACTGCCTCACAGTGGGGCCCTAAAGATGAAATAAAGCTTCTATCACCTCTGGCTCCGAAGCCTCGCCACCCACCTCCCCAGCTTCAGGGAGCCCTCACACACCCCCAGGAAATCCTTCATTCCCGTCCTGCCTCCTTAGGCCCACTGCTCTCCACTCCTAGTTCATCACTCCCTGAGCTAGAGGCCAGCCTTCAGATCCTTTCTCTTTTGACTTCCCCAGGCCTCCCAAAACAGACTCTTTAAGCTATCAAGCCATTCTGGTGTGAGATACAGCCTACAGTTACCTTTATCTGCTGCCCGCGCCCCTGCTAGAAACGAGGATGTCAGCACTTAGCTCCTGCCCATCTCTTCCTTCCCTGCCTGAGTCATCCCCATACACATCCTCCCCTCCCTGCCTGGGGCAGAGCCTAGACCAGAGCCTCAGGAACCAAGGGAACGTCGCAGTGATGTGTTGCTCATCAAGAAGATTCCATTTCATAACTTGGTTGTGCATCACAACCCCCCCATCAAACGGAAGCATTTGACAGCTCTTAGCAACAAATGGGGGGAAACTAGAAATGGAGGTTGATCTTAGAGTCTATTCAGAAGTATGTTCTTAGCCCCCAGCATTCCTTGCCTTTATTCCAGAATTTTTCTTTTTTTTTTTTTTTGTCTCTTTTACTTCTGTTTACTAAATCTCTACTCATTTATCAACTGGGAGGAAGCTTGTGCTGGGGGCTCGCAGATGGGGGGGGCAGTGGATGAAGCAGGAGCCCCTCCCCATCCTACCTGCCCGCTGCCAACAGAGAAGGGCAGCCCCTTCCCTCCCACGGAGGCAGACTGGCTGCGTGGGATGGAGCACCCTGCCTCGTGGTCAGCAGAGAGGCGGGGAGGAAAGGGAGGTGTGTTCACAGGCCCGGCCACCAAGGTCTCCCTGCACGTCCCCTGGGCTGATGCAGGCTTCTGGCGTAGCTCCTCCCCTGCCCCGTCCCGCGGCCCCTGTTCTCTCACCCAGATGTTCCCCAGGGCGCCCCCCAACACTCCATCTAGAGGTCTGTTCCCCCAGGACTGCAACCTAAGAAAACCAGGCGTCAAATAAGCAGAGTAAAGAGATGTTGGCGGGGGCAGTGGGAGGCCCACACTGCGCTATCAGCCTGGGGATGGGGAGAGGGGGCAGACGGGAAGGACAGGACGGGGCAGGAGGAGAGAACGGAGGAATGCCCAGGAGCTCCTGGGCTGCAGCAGAGGGCCTGGGGCTGAGGGACTCCATCAGCCCGGGAGCCTCGTTTGCCTCCCCTGGGCACCTGCAAAGTAATGAAGCAGTTTTCCAGTCACGTCTAACCTTAAGAAATAGGCTTTATAGGGGCGCCTGGGGGCTCGGTCGGTGGAGCGGCCGACTCTTGATTTCGGCTGAGGTCGTGATCTCAGGGTCGTGAGATCGAGCCCCAGGTCGGGCTCCGTGCCCAGTGGGGAGTCCGCTGGAGATTCTCCTTCTCGCTCTGTCCCTCCCACCGCGTGCACGCTCTCTCTCTCTAAAGTAAACAAATCTTAAAAAAAGAAAAGAAAAGAAAAGAAACAGGATTGCTTTATATTGCCATGTTACGGATGAAGAGACGAAGAGGTTCACTAGTTTGTCCAAGGTCACGTGATGCATCCAAGGCAGAGCCAAGATCTGAACCTAAGTGTGACTTCCAACCCTGTGCCCACACAGCTCCTTGTTTGCTCAACAAAACTGCAAGGAGGAGGAGGAGGAAGCGGGGCTTTTCGCATTCCTGACTTGAAGTGTGGGGCAGGGGGAGCCAGACTCCGCAGACGGGTGGGGACTTGGTCCCTGAGACCTGCCCGCCAACGCTGCCTGGGGAGCAACACAGAATTAAGTTCCTTCTGTCCCGACTACAGAACAGAACAATGAGAAATGATGGCCTTTCTTTCAAACGTGAAAACTGCTCCCTCACCCACAAAATCGGCATAAACGAACGCCTTGTAGAGCAGACGAGCACATCTCTGTACACAGACAGGACTAACGCTTCTGGCCGTGAAGGAGTCACGAGGACTGATTTACCATCCCCCCCGTCCCAGCCAACTAAGAAGCCAGACAGAACAGTGGACAACAGGGGTGCCGGGCAGGGTGCCCCGAGGGAAGAGGGACAGGTGAGGTAAGAGCCAGGATGGGCCCGGCTGAAGGGACGGAGCTGAGCGTCGCAGAGGAGAGAGCCAGCTGACCCCGGGCCTCACACACACGTGCTGGCGCCATGTCCCCACCCGGAGCCAGGGACAGAACCCGTGGGAGGCACGGGCAGCGTTCCTGGAGCTCACACAGGTCTGGGAATGGCTGGAGTGGAGAACCCTTGCCATGGGCACGCACCCCGCAGAGCCACACAAGGGTCTTACTGCAGGGACCCGGGCCTCAAGGCTGCTCAGTCCCACCAACCAAGTGGGAAACGGAGCCTCAGGAGAACCAAACTGTTTCCAAGTACCTTACTGGCATCCCAGTTCAAAGCTCAAAAATATTGAAAGGAATTAAAAAAAAAAAAAAACAACAACATAAAATTTACAACGTCTAGGATGCTGCCAAAACTTCAAGGCAGGGCTGCCTGGGTGGCTCAGTCATTAAGCGTCTGCCTTCGGCCCAGGTCACGATCTCAGGGTCCTGGGATCGAGCCCCACATCGGGCTCCCTGCTCAGCGGGGAGTCTGCTTCTCCCTCTGCCTCTGCCCCTCCCCCCTGCTCGCGTTCTCTCTCTCAAATAAATAGATAAAAATCTTTTTTAAAAAAGACATAAACTGAATTCTAGAATTAAAATTACAATGTCTGAGATGAAAAATGGGGATAGAAACTACCAAAATACCTAAAAAAAAAGAAAAGAAAACAACAAAGATGAACAGGGCATCAGCGAGCCGTGGGACACCGTCAATCACTGGAGGATACGTGTGGTTAGAGTCCCAGGGGAAAGAGGAGGAAAGCGGAAAAACACTTGAAGCAATGGGCGCTGACGGTTTCTAAATCCGATGGAAAGTATCGACCCACGGGTGGAAGGAGTGTGGACAAACACCGGGTGTGTATGGAAGAAACATACAGCAACACACTATCAAAATCAGACCGGCTGAAAGCGGTCATGAGTACCCATAATCGGCTGTGCTGTGGAATTTCATCTCAGAAACGAGGACTAAAACTGGTAAGTGGAAGGAAGTGCTAGCTTACTGGGGAGTCTGAGGACTGAGCACCCTCACGGGGGAATGTGTGCGGGGAGAGCCTTCCGTGACCTCCGAACGCATCACCTTCGCCACTTCCCGGTAAACGCACTGGGGAGACTTGGCAAAGACCCGGTGTGAGAATGGGAGCCCACGTCCGCTCACAGGGCTGCTCGGCAGCTCACGTAGATGCAATAATGTGCGTTAACGACCGGTGCAGGGCGAAGGCGCGACCTGCACTCTCCTCGAGCTCAAGCGCCGGGGAGAAGGCACCCCTAACCTGGGGCAAATCAGAAGACGGACCACGGGTAAAGGAGAGAACGACACTGCATTACGGGGCGCCTACTACGTACCAGGTGACGGGCTCTTAGGTGCGTGGTTCTATATTCTCTATCTGCAGACGCTGTCCCCACTTCCCGGACGAGGACACGGGAACCCCAGGACAGACCGAGGTAATCCCGTCCACGCTGAATTCCGAAGAGGCCGCGGGCGCCTGGGGGTCAGCACAGACTGGCCGCCCTGGCTGTCGGTCCACTGTGAGGACTAACGGCTCCTTCTCCCTCAACTCATTTGCATTTCCTGCAGCGCCCGAGCCAACGTGGTGTGAACAAGAGGGAAGGAGCAGGGGTGGGAGCCCATCCCGAGCCCGGAGGACACACATGGTTCGTCTCGCGGTACAGACTAGGTAAGCACAAGCCGCCCAGGGCCAGTGTTGAGGGTAACCCTGAGCAGATGAGAGCACAAGCCCGTGAGGCCGAGGAAGGCGCACCACGAGAGCACCGAGTCCCAGCAGACACGTCGGCCGCCGGCTCCCATGCAGCAACAGCGTGTCCAGGAAGACGGAAGTAATGGGTGAAAACAGGAAGGAACGCGATAAAGCGGCAAAGGCTGTGATGACAGAGAGACTCTGAGGGCGGCCCGGGTGAGATCTGCTCTGTTCTCTCTCCCGGTGATGAAAGTGGCAGGTGTCCGGGCTCCCGGGGCCGCTCGTACTCGCGTAAATGCGTCATGGGTCAGCTGCTGCAGCCACAGGAAGCCTCCTCCCTGTCCCCCGTCACATGAAGGGACGCCACAGGGGACAAAACCCTCACGCCACCAGCACCCTTTGGGGGGACAGAGGGTCTGCACAGAGAGATGAAGGGCAGCAAGGTATCACGACGCTCCCCTCACCTCCTGGGGCTCACCCTCTGTGGCCTCGTTTGTGGGGACCACTCATTTCTTCACTTCGGGGTGGCAGCCCTGGCCTGATACCCTTCGTTCTGCAGCCCATCGGCCAGGGCAAGACCCAGAGCTGCCACAGAGGGCGTGTGTGGTCCACTGACCCCAGGGAGGGGGAGGAGAGAAAAGGCTTTAGGTCAGAACAAGGGTCCTGCAGTCGGTCCAGCCCCGGATGGCCGCGCACGGTGGACGCCCCGTGATGCGGAAGGTGTCAAGACCAGAGGTTCCTCCACACTGGTATTCAGAGGGCCTCCCCGGTGCGACGTGTCTAGGGCCTCCCCCCGTGTGACCGTCTCCCACGCGCAGCACCTCCAAGCTCCACTCAAGACCTCCCAGGTCTTCCTCACACCCACTGCAGCCCGGGGACTCCCGACTTGGGACTGGAGTGTGGATTATAGGCCCCCTTCCTGTGCCCCCCCAGTCCAGTTTGAAGAGCGCCCCACAAGCAGCAGATCAAGGGTGCAGACGCACTCTGCTCCCTCCTTGGTGATCTCTGGGGTCGTATGCCCAGGAGCCGGCCCAGACCTTACCCATCTGACGCATAACCAACCTCCCTCTATGCGGAAGGCCCCACACGGTCAATCCCCATGCCGGCCCTCACACGTCCACACCAGCCTTCCCGCCCACAGCCTCGGACCACAGGGCCTTCTTCCTAAAGCCAGCCCTGCCTTCCCCACCTGAGTCTATCCGTTCCCACCGCACGCGAGACGAAATCCAAGTTCGTTATTAAACACTGTGTGAAGGGGCCTGGATGGCAGCCGGGAACATCTGTGGGGCTGCTGAATGAAGCCCACCCCAGGATGCGGAAAACGGACAGCCGAGCCTCCGGGTGGGAGTTGGCTGTGTGCCCAGCACCCCGACCCCACTGCTCCCCGGGACCCCACGGGCCGGGGCTGCACTCAGTGGGGCTCCTACCTCATGGTCCCAGAGGAAAGGTGGCAGCCGGGCACAGAAGGTGGCTCTGGAGACGTGCCGGGTGCTGGGGGCGAGTCTGGTCCACACGGCCTGCAAAGCGTGTTACAAACAAGGACACATGAGCGTTCTGTCCACACCACAGGGGAGGCTGGAGACGAGGGTGCGGGGGGGGCCTGAGGCTCGTGGAGGGGCTTCACCTGCCCGCCGGCCGCCCTCAGCCCTCCTCCCCTCTCAGAGCTCCGGGCGCCTTTTGGGGGCACCGCCCGCCACTGGACTGCTCAAGTCCCCAGTAGTCTCCTAGCGCTTAGACCCACCCCCTCTGTTCGGGGGGCCCCCAGGGTCGGTACACAGGTGCTAACAGGTTTGGGGGCACTCAGCAAGTGCTGGGCGACTGGGGCTCCGGCTCCCTCCACCGTCAGGGGCGCCCCGAGGCAGGTCCTTTGGACAGTTTCATCCCCAAAGCTGAGGCCCCGGATGAGGGAGTAGTGATTGCGGCTTTCTGGGTTAATGTTTTTCAAAGGTCAAAGTTGGCTTTCAGGGGCAAGGTAAAGGACTACAGAGGTCCAAGGATGGGTTTCAGGTGGCCCGTGAGTCCCCTGGGGTCCCGTGCACGTTCTTCTAGGCAGAGCCTTCCAGAGTCTCAAGACCCCTGACCTCACAAGCTCAGGGACCCGCCTTAGATCAGGAGTCACCTAGAAGAACATGTAACGAGTCTGACAGTAATAACAACTGCAAACGCTGGCCCTGAAATCTCAGTAGTAAGGCTTTTAAAAAAAAAGTTGGACCATCCAGATGATCCGGAACATTACCTTGTTAATCATGAAAAACATGGATGTGTGTATAGAGATCATTTATGACCAATGAACGGAATCGGTAACACGGGCCCCGTTGTGAACGATAAAGGATCTCACCAAGCCAAGCAGAGGGTGGAGGACAGAGTGAAGTTTCTGCAAAAGCAGGAGCACAGAGCAGGTGGCTGTGGCCCTGGGGGGAGGGTGCCCCTCAGGGACGGGGATGACACTGGCCTAGGAGGGTCACATGAAGACACCGTGGAACAACGTATTTGGCGTCAAGTGAGTAAAACTGTAAGGACACACAATTTACCAAACGTGTCAGGACACCAGTAAAACGGAAAGGATGAGAATGTATACCAACGGAGCTAAAAATCCTCAAGGGTTATTTCTGGGCATTTAGGGAGGTCTTTGAGATTGTGAGGCCTGGTTTTCAAAGCTCCAACCCTAAGAAAATTCGGGCTTCTGGGATGCCTGGGTGGCTCAGTCGGTTAAGCGGCTGCCTTCGGCCCGGTTCATGATCCCAGGGTCCTGGGATCAAGTCCCACATCAGGCTCCTTGCTCAACAGGGAGCCTGCTTCTCCCTCTCTCTCCCTCTGCTTGTGCTCTGTCAAATAAATAAAATCTTAAAAAAAAAAAAAAAGAAAATTCATGCTTCTTTTCCTCGATGGACTCCTACTGGCATGAACGTATGGCTACCACTCACAATAACGGGGCAGATTTCGAGTCCCAAGTCGGCGGAGAGGACGGGAGGCCGACAGAAGGGAAGGTCCGAGTCTCCCTGAGATGAGTGGGTGCGAGGCGGACGTGGGCAGGGAGCGAAGTTACGGGCTGTGCGCATAGCGTGGGCATCAAGGTGGAGAGACTCGTTCACCAGAATTCCTCCTGGGAAACACGGACTCTTCTTGGGCCGAGAGGAGACCTCCCCTCTTTACGCATATGCTCAAGTACAACAACCGAAGTGGGTCACTGTTGCCTTCCCGTGTTCCAGGGAGTGGGCTGCTGAGGGAGGGCCTTTTCTCCTTCCGTGCAGTGGCCACAGCCCGGGTGGGGCCGGTGGGGAGGGGCTGGGCCTTGCTGAGGTGGCTGAACCTGAGGTGGGGGGAGCAGGGAGAGAGAGCTAAACCAGCCGTGGTTTGGCCAACAAGGGACGTGGGAGGACGTACAATGTGCACGCCCTTCTCCCCTGGGAGAAGCACCTGGGCGCGTCTGTGGGAGCGGACTCTTGGGCGTGAGCTTAAACAGGGGCCGAGTCTCTGTCGGGGCCAGGGGTGAGTGTGGACATCAAACACGTGAACACAGGACCAGGGGTTGGAGGGATGGGTGCTATCCAGGCTTCACAGGACAGAGACACGGTCGGGAGCATTTTTCGGCTTGAACCTGAGCAGCGAGTAAGAGAGCACGCTGCACCTGTCATCCCCGTAAGGACGGGGGAAGTTGGAGAATCCCTCCTGCTCGGGGCCTGACCGCCAGACACCAGAGGAGGGACGGAGGGTGGGGGGCTGTGCGGCGTGCTGTTCGCTTGTACGGCCTTTTCTCAAGGAAGGGTCTGAGCTGGGGGAGCACACTGGGGCTCAGAGTAAACCCACATAATGGGTTTTGGCTGTGAGTGGTGGTTTCCAAGGACACGATTTAAATCCATGACATTCAGATCCACGTAGTAAAAACACCAACGTGCACAGGGTTTCACACACGGCAGCCGCGAGCCCGCCTGTCCACGGCACAGCACGGGGCCCGGGAGCTCAGACAAGCCCCCGAACGTCCCCCCCGCTCCTGGTCTTCGACATCGGCGCAGGGACACCCACACCCACCCGGTCGGCCGATGCACAACTCTGTGAATTAAAGATCATTCAACGAACACGGAGAACAGGTGGATTTTATGGTACGCACGTGGTCCCCACTCCAGCCGCTTACAGGGGCCCACATCAGAGACACGGTGAAAATAAGCACGGAGAGGGTCTGGTGCTGGGCCTGGTACAGCAAACACTCAGGAACACTAGGGGTCAGTAATCGCGTCGCAAAGAAGAGATTAAACAACAGAGCACCGAGCACATGTCACGTTAGATCTAAGAAGTCCACAACCGCGGGGCTGGTCGGACCCTGGAGCTCACGGAGTTCAACCCCCTCCTCTCAGGGCCGCGCGCGAGGAGCAGCGCCAGCCTGCTGGGGCCGGGCGCCTACTGGTGCCCCAGACACGCGGACAGGTGGACGCCCAAGGAGAACACACAGCGCTCGGGGGAGGAGGCGAGGGGGCTGCTGGGCTGTGGGCGAGCGACAGCAGGTACCACAGCAGAGGGCTCCGGGCTGCGGGGCGAGGCCCAGCGAGGGCCCAGGCACCTGCTGGTGGTGAGGCCGCACAGTCCCTCTGCTACCTGCTGACGCACGACCCAGCAGGGCGGCCGTCCATCTGTCCGTCCGCGCAGCACCCCCGCGGGGCACAGCTGCCCACGGGCTGCTCTCTGCAAGCCCCCCGCCTGGCCCACCTGCCCCTTGGGACGCTCAGGGCCTCGCTCGCCATCCTGGAAGCAGCCTGTCGTCTCCTCTGTCCTGCACCCTCTGCGGGGGGACGAGGAGGTCTCGCGGGAGGGGGTCCCCAAGCTTCCCGGCTTCAGCAATCGTCTAAGGAACCTCGGTAGCACGTCTGCAAGATGTCGAAGCTAAGAGAAGCTCGATCAAGGGTCCTGGTGCGACACCGTGGCCGGGAAGACGGAGTGTGTCCTCTGCCACGACCTCCTAACCTTCCACGAGTCAGCGCGGTCACCCTTGGGAGGTGGCGGGCCACGTGTCTCCACGGTTCCCGAGAACTAACGATCTGGGCTACGTGGCTGGTAGAGACCCCGGAAGTGAGGGGGTCCGCTCGGGGAGCGCGGAGGGAGTGCGAAAGGTGACAGAGGAAACACGAAGGCCTGAAACAGCTTTCACGATTTAACTCGGGACCCCAAAACTTCTCCGTGAACCGTTCACAAAAGCACCTCCTCGTTTTTGGCCGCTGCGCTGGAAGTCGGCGGGAGGAGGACGTGTGTCCCCTCGTGGGGCCCTCAGGCCTGGGCGCAGCTGGTCAGGCTGGGGCGCGTCGTCCAGGGCGATCACTCCGCGCAGTGGACGCTCTGGTGCCGGAGGAGGTGGGAGCTCCTGCTGAAGGTCTTCCGGCACTCCTGGCACTCGTAGGGCTTCTCGCCTGTGTGCGTCCTCTGGTGGAGGACAAGCTGGGAATGCTGGCCGAAGGCTTTCTCGCACTCAGTGCACTCATACGGCTTCTCCCCGACGTGAATCTTCTGATGGAGGAGCAGCTCCGAGCTGTCCCAGAAGGTTCTTGCACAGTCGCCGCACTGGTGAGGCTTCTCCCCCGTGTGGATCCTCTGGTGGACCGTGAGGTGGGAGGTCCGCCTGAAGGCCTTCCCACACTCAAAGCACTCGTAGGGCTTCTCGCCGGTGTGGATCCTCTCGTGCCTCAGAAGCTCCGAGTTCCCCCGGAAGGCCTTCCCACACTCCTTGCACACGTAGGGCTTCTCGCCGGTGTGGATCCGAATGTGCCTGATGATCTCCGAGTTCTGGCCGAACGTCTTCCCACACTCGTTGCACTCGTAGGGCTTGTCCCCCGTGTGGATTCTCTGGTGGCGGATCAGCTCCGAGCTCTGGCCGAAGCCCTTCCCGCACTCGTTACACAGGTAGGGCTTCTCTCCGGTGTGGATTTTCTGGTGCCGGATGAGGCCCGAGCTGTGCTTGAAGGCTTTGCCGCACTCGAGGCATTCGTGGTACCGCTCCTCCGTGTGGATGCGCTGATGCTGGATGAGCTGAGAGCTCACCCGGAAGGTCTTCCCGCACTCGTTGCACTCATACGGCTTCTCCCCGGTATGGATCCTCTGGTGCAGAATGAGCGCCGAGTTCTGGCTGAAGGCCTTGCCACACTCCTCACACTTGTATGGCCGCTCCCCGGTGTGGATCCTGTGATGGTGGATGAGGTGTGAGCTCTGGATGAAGGCCTTGCCGCACTCGCGGCAGGCGAAGGGCTTCTCCCCGGCGTGGATCCTCAGGTGCCTCCGCAGGCTGGAGTTGGTCCCAAACGTCTTCCCGCACTCTTTGCACTCGAAGGGCTTCTCTCCGCTGTGGACCCGCAGATGCTGGATGAGGTGCGAGTTCTGATTAAAGGCCTTCCCGCACTCTGTGCACGTATGAGGCTTTTCTCCCACAGGACTTCTCCGGGCCTTGTGAGACTCTGAGTTCTCCACAGGGTTGTGGCGGGAGGCGGCGCAGGCGCGGACGGGCGCAGCTGGGGACTCGGCCGGAGACGTGAGCGGG